TTGGTGAGTGGGAGTTGCCTCCCCTGATTCATTTGGTTAACCTGTATATAGTGAGAACCGGTTATAATGAGAGGAATTTCACGGTTATAGGTATCAGTTGACATAATACTTGGCTTATAAACGTACTTGCTGTTACATGTAAGTACAGTGCACGAAGGTGTCAAGTGATTGCTGATTGTGGTTTACCACATGCAGTAAAATATGGTCACATGACCAGAAGATCCCCCTCAACTTCATGTTTTACTCACCAAGAAGAATCCTTCATAATATTGCATCCCGAGAGTTGGTGTCATGGTATAAGTGTCTCCCAACATACTTTCTCTCAAGTACAATTGCTGTCTGAATGGCCATCAGCTACAGTCTACCAATACCAACTTGGTCTTGACGAATCCAACGGCTACAAAGTTTTCAAAATGAAAATTGCAATTTAATAACTTCAATGCATTTACAGAAGTAAAATTTTAAAAAAAATCTAGCAAAACAAATCCTTTTACACATGAATAAATTACAAATCTTTACATCAGTGAACATGGGTTGGGAGAACAGCTAGTAGTCAAAGCTCGAGAAACAGTCGTCAAGGATGTGCATAGCGACAATCCGAAAAAATGTCACAACTGCAATCTGCTACAAGTATTATTAACTAAGAAGCAAAATGAAGTTCCAAATTTTATACAAATGGTTTTTGTTGTCATAAATTTTATGCGAATTCAGTATGGATGGCTACAGGTATAACCCATACACATATAAAATTTTGAAAATGTGTTTAAACAAAATTTGTCTTCTATAACACTTTCTTATATATTTTAACTGTGGTCTACTTTCTGAGGCTTTTTCTTCAATTTTTGAAGATGGTCTATTTTAATCAAACTTTGGATTTTTGAAACAACTACAGTATACATTTAAGTGCTATAAAACACGCAGGATTCATTTTCATTTTTTAGGTCAAAAATTGAATGTGAAATCAAATGTTACTGATTCGATCACTAAGTAGCTAATATGTCTGTGATACGGTATATACATGTATAGGATTCCATTGGTTAGTGTTCCACAAAAGTGAAAACAACAAATAACGATTTCATCTGGTCTTAAAACTGAAATTTCAGGCCTACAAATATAAACAATTTTATTTGTACATACTATATTGATCCAACCTGTAGGTTGTTATGATTACAATAATTGTTTTCACTAGAGTCCCTTTATAAAGTTGTTCTTCAATATGGCCTAGTGTTATCGAGGATGGGCAGGGTGAATGTGACAACCATGCGAGATGAGATGACGATAACTAAGTTGGGTGGGACCCTTATATTCCAGACAATGGTACGTTATTCTATCACCACGACCCGAAACATACAAATGTAATTATTATCTACTTCACTAAAGGCGGATAATGGAGTTATCTGGTGAGAGGGACACATCGTGTGCTGCTGACTACATCTCATACGATAGCTTCCTCATCAAGTGGCCAATAGCCATACATATGTATAACCACGGCCACTCTAGATTTGTATGATGGTCCAATGGTCAAATCTGTATCACACGCTAATATAAACTACAAACATTAACAACTGAAATACATTATACTATAAACTATACACATTCTAATAAAAATGTTATGTATGCTTTTATGTAATGATGCTATATTCTTCTGGCGGATTTTTCGGACACTAATGTAGTTTGAGATCAATGTGTTTTGGACAACATACATATGGAATATCAAATGCCTGATCCTAATCTTTCTAATTTTTTTAAATACAACATTTTTTCACAATGGCCCATTGAATACTGGTGGATATGGGAGATTCTAAAAAATGAGCATGCGATAGTGCAATATTTCCTTAAAAGTATTATTTCTGGAATCTTCTTTCTTTGTTCAATTTCGTATATGTAATTATATAAGTTATATTCGATGTTAAAAAATTATTCCTACACACTCGAATGCATTTTTCAGTCAGTCACAAAGTTTGCCGCACAAAATAGACATATTTGAGAAAAACATTAAAACCTTTCCCATATTTTGTTTTCCTACTCTGCTGGTAAATAGTACTTACCAAACTAAAATAAATTACAAAAGAAAACAAGTGGCCCAGAGGGCCTGTATTGCTCACCATGACAAAAAAAGCAACCACAGAAAATGATTCTTATTACATAATTATAATACAGCAACTCATTAAGTTCCTTCTTTCTGCTCCAAACATTAACTTCAATTTCCCCTATTGGGCCCCTCCTTTCTGCCCCAAAAAAGAAACCCTTCATTTATACAAAATTGAGCTCTGGACCAAATTTGGTTAAAATAACTCCAATCATACAGAAGGAGAAGGATTTTAAAGATCAACTAACTCTATTGGGCCCAGTCCTCTGTTTACAAAACATGAGTACCCTTTTCCCAAGGATGCTCTACACAAAAAAAAACCTCAAATCATACTAAAGGAGAAGGATTTAATCAGTTATTACTAAGTTCCCTCCATTAAGCCCTGCCCCTATGCACTCCCTCAGTTTATACAAAATTTGGATAAAATCCCTCCAATGGTACAGAAGAAGGATATTTTAGATTTAAACCTCAAATTCCCCTATTGGGCCCAATCCCTCTGCACCCAGATCTAGAGGGGCCACACCCTCCGTCTACACAAAATTGAGTCCCCTTTCCCAAGGATGCTCCAGGCCAAATTTAGTCAACTAAAATCAATAAAGCTGTTCAGGACTAGTAGTGTTTTAAAGAAAAAGTTGATAGATGGACGCTGCAGTACGGCATAAGCTCATCATGGTCCTTCAGACCAGGTGAGCTAAAAACTGATCTTTGAACTAAAATAAAGTTATTTTCTGAAAGAACTATCTCCCTTGTACAACTATAAATGCATGCATCCTCAAGATTCCAAATTAACTAAAATAACCATTTCATTGTTTGTGTTTTAAATAAATCTTGAACAGGTAAGACTCATAAATGATGCTGATAATGTTCTCAGCATGATTTTTATCAGTGTTGTTTTTAATGAAACTCTACTAAAATTACCTCCCTTTGCTTACAGTTTGCACTTGAAATTTAGTTAACATTATGGAATACTAGCTGTGATGGCTTTTCTAGCAAAACTCACAGGACCCTGTATAAACCAGTATAAACCAGTATAAACCAGCCAATCATTTTTGTCCTAGTTAATATCCAGTTTGAACTGATTATGCTGTAATGTTAAACTAATTACAAACATATACATACCTATAGCCGGAAACAAAAATCTCTTGGAACATCTTTTTATTGCTTGGAGCAGTTCTCTGTAAACTAGGTCAGGAACATCTTTGAAATGTCAAATTTCCTGAAATAACCAACAAATAAAAACCATTTTATGGATAATACTATATAACTTGCAGCCATAAATCTTGTAACTGGTTGATAATAAACATCAATTTAACAGGTTCTGTTTTAAATTTGCCAAAAGTAATCACAAGGCAGATATAAAACTTTCACATCAGTCTCGTGCAAAAACTTTTTTTATAATCATAATTAAGATGCGATTTCCCAAAAATATATTTCCTATTTCTCTTTTTCATAGGCTAATGACCTTAACTGAGAACAAGAATTATTTTTATGAAATGTTTCCCATAATCTTCATGGTCATCGAACAAATTACTTAAAATATAATACAACATACTCTACATACTGATTGAATTTGATTTACCTTAATTAATTTTTTTCGGATTGTGACCTGCATTATAGAAACAGCGGAGTTGGGAAGAAATGAAGAGGAATGCACACAGTAGGATCATAAGAGCCCTACTAAACATGCATTGCTTCTCCGAGATATATCAAATCATACAATTAAAACCAATTGATTTTATGATGAAATTTACATGTACATGTAATAGCAATAAAACCACTTCCTCCCAAAAATTCCACATTTTCTTTGTAATCTTAATAAAAAATCGCAGAAACCAAATGTGGTATGAAGTAGTGGCAGTAAGACATCAGTCACTAACAAGGTGGTAAGAGTTGTCTTCCTTGGGTTTGAAACTACTGCCAATTAATCATTTATAACTTACTGTTAAGGTCACAGAATCAGATCAGAAAGTCTGTGATATGGTTAAAATAGCCACATGAGAAATCCTGTATAAGTATTAAGGCTATACACACATAAAGGCTTTACAGAATTAATTACTTTCGAATGCAATGATGAAGAAAATAGGCTGTAGTTTTCCCAAAGGAGTTTTACAGATACATGAAATGGTATGACTTGAATGGTTGTTTTAATAAGAATTTGGCAGTCAGAAACGATATATGAATTTATTATCCATGATCTGATATCAAGCTGGCTTTGTATTTTTGTAACAAAGCTGCTTTTTTCAGCTGATGAATTATGCTTCTCATGAACTTTCAATAACAAGATTTAATTATACTGTAGAAATTTGGAATACTGGTTTATCCTACAACCTGATTCATTTTGGCCTTTATATGGAAGCTATGTAGCTCTAAAGTGTTGTTTGAGAGTTTGTTGAGAGTAAGCTTAGGAAATAAAATAAAAGGTTGTTTTATTAACTTATTGTTTCCCAATTTGTGACGCATTTAAAAATTATCAACTAAAAAATATATGCTTAACATTGGAATGCCTAATTTAAAACACATAAAATATGCTTCACCCCGCCCAAAATATATTGTGTACATTAAAAAAACGCTATTTGAGTGCTAAAACAGATTTTTGGTGCATGGTGCGGAATTATAAACGTTTCCAATGGTTTTTTATATCTTGTTTCTGTCTTTATATATGTGTACCTTAGACAGGAAGTTTAAATCAGAATCTCAAAGTCATTAAAATCCCTGAATCATTCTAGCTGTAAAATGTCAAACTCTCCCGCCATGCTGTCGGTATGCGTTCGATAATCATCGGACTGTTTTATCGTCGAAGTACGGGCGTGAGTTCCGAATGCGCGCACCTGTTCGTCACAATCACTCTAGCGTTTCATTCCTAAGCCAAAGAACTCTGCGTAAATAAACGGCCTTTTGCGCCTGATTGGGAAATTGTTTACATTGGAATCGATATTCAGGTCGTTGCCAACCACCGTGCTTTGATACTGGAACAGTGAATTTAATCGCATCAGATAAAACTGAAAGCCGATTTATAATTAAGTGTCGGAACCAAAGTTTAGAGGGAAATTCAAGATGTATACAACGAGAATGCGAACCCACCCGGCACTACAATCAGGGTCGTTTATGTTGGATAGAGAAATTAGGGAAATTATTGAAAGTGGACAATATTATTACACGGCTGAAATTGCCACAGAACTCAATAATATCAGCAATGCCTTAGAACATATCCTGTTGGATAGTAACTTCCTAACAACTTCTCCAGACTGGGGTCGTAACCTCGATCATGAGGAGGCTAGCGGTAAAAATTAATTAACATTTAATTATAAATAATTAATATAAGAACTTTCGAATACATGCTCCGTGATCGATTGACTTTTAACATGTTGATGATGCAGTCATGTAGGCCACCAATGTAAAATATATTTGATGGTATTTCGATTCACGAATTGCTAAATGTTTATCTAATGTATCTATCATTACATGATTCGTTATTATTGTCCAATATGGGGAATCATCTATACTGTGTGATAGGACCTATTTATATATACAAATGTACATCTTTCTTATAGGGGAAAATTTGATGATACCATCTCATACAGTTAGTTGATCGCCTTCACTGAACTCTTAATAATATGTACTCCAAATTGACCTTAGTGCTCTGTCAGTACAGTACGTCGCTCTATAGTTGATATATTCCCCACTGAACTACTTAATTATTTTACTCCCTTAATGTATATCTTCTTGACCCCGTTGTTAATCAATACTAACATATATATATTTATAAAACAAGAACATGAATTGTGATGGGATTTTTTTTAATGATGTAGATATAGTTTTGTCCATATTCTTCAAAAAGATAAATGAGTTACTTATGTAGCATCCATGTATTCATAATCAATTGACATACATCAATATTATCAATGATTTGTGTAAACTAGTTTCTGTATCAACAATTGCAATTGTATCTAAGATCTGAACAAGAAATATCTGAAATGAACATTATCAATGATATAATCATTAGCAAGAATGGATGTTTGAAAAAGATTGTATGTTTTATGACAGGGAAACTAAAACATAGAAATCAGTTCACTGACAGAACAAGCAATAGATGGGTGCATAAAAGTAAACTGAAAACAATCTAATAGTGTATAATATCTGGGGTTTTTTACCGAAACTTATAATATATTTAAAAATCAACATCTGGGATATCAACAAAAATAAGATACTTTATCTCCAAACCACAAACTTGAATCTGTGTAAATGTTATCTCCTCATTCTTAGTTAAGATTGTGAAAATTTCAAACAGCAGAAATATCTGGCTTATGGTAATCAGTTGTTTGCTGTAACAGTCAACTGAAGTACATTGTTTTCAACAAGAACAACCTATTAGAAATAATGAACATGTGCATTTCGCAGATCCCTGCATTACAGTCAAGTTACTAATCATGGCACATAAGATATAGTCTTGTAGAGTCAATAAAAGGTGATTGGAGCCAGGGGCAATACATCATGCAGTAGTTAAAGTTAACATTATTCAAGGACAAGTGTCAATCCTGTACTGTTTCATGAGATATTGTATTGGTTATACGTTTTAAATGTTTGAAAATTCAGAAAACTTCTTTAATATACTAAACTGCAGAAAATTCTACACTGGTTGATATTGTCCTTACATCACAAGCTGTACAAATGTTGTTTTTATGTCTTTCAGGTGCAGGTGCCATACTCACTAAGCTAGCTGGGTTTTTAAATCAATATAAATCTGTAATGGCTAACAGGGCAATAGAAACAGCTCAGGAGACCAACATTCGGCAAAACCACCACTGGGCAATGGAGCATCTCATAGCTCTACAACAGGTGAGACTACAGACCTTATAAAACAGCTTCAATAAGGATGCAGTTGGAAAATTCCCTTCAAGTACATGTATTAATCTACCCTCAGTCCTGAACAGTAGTAAGCCTTGATGCAGTAAAGTGCTTAATGAAATCAAAGCATGTGCCTCAAGGGTCTGCCTGACACTTAGCTAGGATCTTTATGTAAATTGAAGATATCGTGAAAACAATGTGTCTTATATGTGTAGTCCTCTTTATTTTTCATACAAAAGTGATCTTAAGGGATAAAATAGGGAAAGTGGACTATGGATGGGATACTCAATTTAGGTAGTCTTTTATTAAAAGCATGTATCTATATATATATATATATGTATATATATCTGAATACTGCAACGCCCTCTTTCAAGTACTCTGTGCAGTGTGTGCATCGGTGTTCTAATAAGTGCAGGGTTACTTGACTGGCAGTAGTAAAGTAAAAGAGTGGTAGTAAAACTAAGTATTATTTGCAATTAAAGTACACAACAACCAAATCACCTTTAAAGAGGTTGACCAATGCAGTGCTTTATGTTATGATTATCAGTAGTAATATGGGTGCAGAAAGTAATTCAGTACAATTCACTACTATACATTTTTTTTTATTTGACTTTCAGCTAATCTTGTTTTCTTGGAACAATGTTTTTCCCTCTCTACATTCTTTGTTATGTAATTTCTGCTAATGTTTTTGACTCAGTACTTAAAATAATACATAAAATAAAATTTGTTTGCATTATACTCTGAGTGATATTACTGTATTATCACATGTACCAGTAGCAGGATGCTTTACCAATCATTTCAATTCCTTCAGGAATTAGGTCCATACACAGTGAGTGCTGCTGACCGTGTGAAACAGTTTGGTGACCAGGTTGGAGTGACTGACAGGTACACAGGCTACAGAAATAATCTGACCCGTGGCTCCAGGCAGCCCTGCCACATGTCTACAAGCTGGATGGACCAAAGTGCACCACAAGGATACCTGGATACACAGCGCCCAAGCACAGGTACAACTCAGAGGCATTAGATCAGCTGTGTTAGCCATCGTTCATATGCCAACATTTTTCACATTTTAGACTTCTTGAAAAGTACTTGCCATAAACCATTTTGATCAAACTTGACACACTTTTTGCCAATAATGAGTGAAATTATGGTTTGAGGTGAGCATCTCAGGGCACATAAAAGGAGTAACACATGGGATGAAGTAATGATTAATGTCGGTATGTGCCGATCGCTGTTAAGTTTTCTATTTCTGTCACATATAATTATCTACTACATGAGTATTTATCAAATAAATCTTACATAAGATATCGCCCTCTCAGCATTTACAAACAAGAGATTATCTGTTTGGCCTGTTTTTTGTTTCATTACCATTCCTCTGATTGATTATCTAATGAAGACTTTTCCGAAGTAAAGAACATCTAACGAGTAATGTATGGTAACAAGAATGGGAAACAATAGTGAAATAATTGTATACCTGTTTAACCTATAGAGTCTGTGATGTCTAATTAAAGGGAGGTTTGTAGTATTGAAAATATGTCATATGTTCAGTTCCAGTAAAAAACTTAATAAGACTTTACTCTTTATACAGATATACTTGAAGATTTATGTTACTTTAGATGCTCTGTTATGAGATATGAAATAGTTTACAGCCTGCTCTCGTTTATATCCTAACAAAGTTATGGGGGTTATATACCAGCCACCATGGTTTTTTTTTAATTTGTAATATGACCTATCAGCCTTGTGATTGGTTGTAAGTTTCAATTGTGACATCATGCCTAGGACATGTACATGACGTCACAGACTTACACACTGGAGTCAAAATGACGTCTTTTTACGTTTCAAGGTTGCATGAAAATTGTCGTTTTACACTAATAAATGCCACAAATCTTGATTATTTGATAAAAAGGAACTAACATGAGTTTCCATTTCATATAAGATTTATGAAATTGTCACGAATATTTAATTTTAGTTCGCCAGAGGCTATTTTAATTGAAAAATATTTAGACTCATTTCATCAATCTCATATAAAATGGAAGCTCATGTAAGATCCTATATATATATGAGCATTATGACGAGATAGTTTGTAGAGTATCACATGCACATATTGTCAAGGTCAAGATCACAGAAGAAATCAAAGGTCTAATCATAGCATTCTTGTCCAAACTGTAACGACAATATCAAACAGTAAACATAATTTGATGAAAGTTTGTAGGTAGAAGTTTGTTGAAAGACAGTGATTCATACCCTATTGTGGCTACACAGGTCCTTCACCAAAAGGGCAAAGGTCATAGGTCAAATCACTGCAGTTCTCGTCCAGACTGTATCAACTATCAACTGAACTTAATTTCGTGAAATGTCATAGAGAGAAGTTTTATAGGAAAGTGGTGGGTCATATACCACAGGTCAACTATCCCAAGGTCAATGAAATAGCAAGTGGTCAATGGTTAAATCTCTGTGAATCTTGCTCAGTTGTATACTTATTTAATACACAGAATTTATAGGTTTGTAAGTTTTAATGAAAGATTTTAATTAATCTTTCAGCAGGTTACTTCACTCCAAGACAAATAACCAGTATGGTGCCTCCCCGTGTGAAATCAGCAGCTCTACGGACACGTGTCCAGTTTGCACAAGATAATGGACCACCAAAGCTCACCACACGAGGTAACCTTTAACTTTCTTATTCATTGATTAAGACTTCACAAAGGTCACCACAGGAGGTAAGCTTTCACTTCCTTTATTATTAGTGAAGAAATCACAAAGGTCACCACACGTGGCAAGCTTTAACTCCCTTTATTATTAGTGAAGAAATCACAAAGGTCACCACACGTGGCAAGCTTTAACTCCCTTTATTATTAGTGAAGAAATCACAAAGGTCACCACACGTGGCAAGCTTTAACTCCCTTTATTATTAGTGAAGAAATCACAAAGGTCACCACACGTGGCAAGCTTTAACTCCCTTTATTATTAGTGAAGAAATCACAAAGGTCACCACACGTGGCAAGCTTTAACTCCCTTTATTATTAGTGAAGAAATCACAAAGGTCACTATGGGAGGTAACCCCTTTTATAACCAATAAACCAGTTCAGGAATGTTCATCATGTGGGGGTAAGCTCTTATTGATATCTTTAATTATATATATATATGGTACATATAGGGTAAGTTCTAACATTCTTAATTTCTTATAAAAAGTAAATTAAGCTTTTCCTAAATATTATTAGAAGGTTAACCTAAGGTCATTTTTATCCCCCACTTTCACCAAAATGGGGGATATTAATACAGGTCTGTCTGTCTGTCCGTCTGTCTGTCACGCTTCGTTTCCATGCAATAACTACAACAAATATTAACTGATTTTCTTCAAACTTGGTCACAGGGTTAAATGCCTTAAGGGCTCATCCAAGGAGGCTTCTGATTGGTGAAAATTTAGATATTGTTCGATTTTGATGAAAATTGGTATATAGGGATATTAGGGGACTGCTAATTCAACAGCATAAGTTTCGTTGCCATACCAACAATACAAAGGCTACTGATTGGTGGAAATAAAAATATTGTTCGATTTTGATGAAAATTGGTATCTTGAGGTATAAGGGGACTGCGAATTCAACTGCATAAGTTTCGTTGCCATAGCAACCAAATGGAGCACTTCTTATTGGTCGAAATTCAATGTTTTTTTCATTTTTTTTATGAAAAATGGTATATAGGGGTATTAGGGGACTGCGAATAAAACCGGATAAGTTTTGTTAAAACCATAGCAACAACACACGGAGGCTTATGATTGGTCGAAATTTAGATATTGTTTGATTTTGATGAAAATTGGTACCGGTATATAGGGATATGAGTTTCGTTACCATAGCAACCACACAGAGGCTTCTGATTGGTCACAATTTAGATATTGTTTGATTTCGATGAAAATTGGTATATACGAATATTAGTGGACTGCAAATTCAATCGCATACTTTCCGTTGTGCCATAGCAACTACACAGAGGATTCTGATTGGTTGCAATTTAGAAATTGCTCAATTTCACTCAACTTTAGTATGTACATTGTAGATGTACTATGGCAATACGATCCTTTTCTAATGCATCTTTGCGACTATGGGGGCAGTTTTGGGGACATCTGTAATGGTCCCCCATTACAATTAGCACTTGTTGTTGTAGATATTGTTAAGATGTTTCAACCAAATTCCTTATGCACATTCAACTCATGCTAAGTTTGCCAACCAATGTGATTTGTGCATATTTACGGATAATCAATGAGGTACATGTGTATAAGGCTTTTTTTTCTTCAAGGTTCAAGCTGTTGTATGTCTCAGCAGCACGATACTAACATGTTTAAACCTAACCTCAATAATGTTAACCTACAATATGTCCTGCAACCGGGTGATATAAATTCCACGAATTTGCTTGTTATCAATTAACCTGGCCTGCAGGGCAAGTGAACTTATGCCCAGCTGTGTCTACCATCCTTCCATTGTCTGCCATCAACTATTCATTTAAAACCCTACAAGTCAAGGAAGGCTGAAGGCATTTTGACCAAATTTCATTTTGGTATTGAATATTTTTGAGCAAAGAAGATATAATGTTGTGTAGATGAGCCATTAAAATCACACTTCTTGAGTTGAGTAAAATAATTCAACCTTATTTATTCTGGAGCATCCCTGGGCCTCAGAGACTTAGCATTGTATACTTGGAGGGCTAGGGGAAAATATGTTTATCTTTAAAATCCTACCCCTCTGTACAGTTAAAGGCATTTTCACTGAATTTCATAAGTGAAGCATCCTTGGGAGAGGGTCACCTCCCTCCCTTGTGCAAAAGCTTATATTATAACCTAAATGGGAGATACAAATAAATTGCTTTTAATTCTACTCCTTGTGTACAGATTATTTTGTCAGAAGCATCCTTTGCCAAGGAAACTTTGTGTAAAATGAGGGTGTGGCCTTCTCCTTGATACAGAAGGATATAAGGGAAATAAAGGTAATTAACACTTGAAATCCTACTCCTTCAGTATCAGTAAATTGATTTCAATCAAATCTGGTCTGGAGCATCCTTTGGCCCATGGAACTCAATATTGTATAACTTGAGTGTGCGGATCGCCTTGGGACTCAGAGATGGAAAGTATGAACAAGGACCATATTGTGAGCAGAGGAACCTGGTTCAGTAGTGTTATGTTTAAAAACGCTCATTTTAAAGTTTTTGCCTGCTCTCTGCTCTTTTGATAATCTTGTAACAACTATTTGATAACTCCCTTATTAGCATAGTCTTATTTCATCAAAGATAAGATAAATTGTTTGTTGCCCCCATCATTACCTTTATATACTGTATAACATGAAATGTTTGCTGTGTATAAATAATCTTGGTTTTCATGATTGCTATAGCACAACAAACACAAATCCAACACATGATGGATATATTTAACTTCTGTTTGTTTACCAGGTATATGGGGAATCCACAAAAATTAGTACCATGAAAGGATCGATCTAAATAGCTTTAAACCACAAAAGAAAATACCTACGAACCTTTTGTGATGGAGTATTTACTTAACATCTTTCTGTTTCCTAGTGCCTAGCTTGTTTGGCAATACCAGCCTTGTGACGAATGTTCACCCAAGCGAGGTATGCAGTGGGGTTCTGTTCTGGGCCAAAATATACCAAAGTCCTAAAAAATGGTACTTATTTTCCCCTGTTTAACGTTCAGCATTTAGAGTAATTGCAACAATTGGAATACAATGTGACCTGCTGGAGTATTCTGCTGGATGCCTTTGGCATGGTATTTCAGTGGGATAGAACTCGTCGGCACCAGATCCGCGCTCTCACAAGGAGGCAAATATATAATTAATATTCCCCCTTCAGCACACATACACACATTCACACACTTACATTACACACATAGAAGCATGTCCTAAAATCATCTTAGTTGTTAATAGGACATTTAACCTAATCAAACTAAACCAACTGATATAATCAAATTCTCACAAAGTCATACACTTTTGTGTACCATGTTCGAAAGTAGTGGAATATTCTGGTTTACTGACTGGTATGTTTTCATTTCATATTGCATTCTGGTATACCAAGTTCTCATATGTAACAGAGGTCATTACTTTTTTAATGCCTTCCCATAGGAGTCGAACCCGGAACCTCTTGCTTACTAGTCTTACACTCTACCGAATGAGTTAAAGAGAAATTCTCCCTAGCAAGTCGGTAGGAAGCAGCTCGTATTTTACCAGAGTGACATACTCCCCCTCCAGGAAAGAAATCAAGTTTTCAAGGGGTCATAGTGATTCCTTTGCAAGCATCGCTGAGTATTTTTTGTCATATCTCCCGGGTCCCTGTGTAACAGAGTTCCTTATCTTTTCAATGCCTCTGCTAGGAGTCGAACCTGGGACCTCTGGTTTACTAGTCTTACACTCTACCAAATGAGCTAAAGAGAAATTCTCCCTAGCCGAGTCAGTAGGAAGCAACTAGTATTTTACCAGGGGGACACAAATTTTTGGAATATTCTGGTATACAAAGTTCACATATAATGGTACATTCTGGTATACCAAGTTCTCATATAGTGGTACATTCTGGTATACCAAGTTCTCATATAGTGGTACATTTTGGTATACCAAGTTCTCTTTTAATGAAACATTCTGTTATATTTTTTTTTTTATCTAGTTATACTTGCTAACGTACTCAGTTCTCATATAGTGGTAAATTCAAGCAAGACACTTACCTTAATTGTATCAGGATTCTGTTTCCTCACGCTGTGTGGATAACCCCAGTCTATCTTATACCCATTAGCAGACATTTTAATTCAAGTGTTCATGTTCCTCCCACAGTTTACAATAACACGTCTGTAATCCTTCCCTTTCATTGTCCACACACTGTCGTCTTATTCTCCAACCCTCAGATTCTTCTTCCAAAGATCACTCTATTGCGTAGGTGATGAATGTCCTTCAGCTTAAAGAAGCTTTGTTTTTTCATAATTAAACATGTCTTCAAATCTTATAATTTCCAATCTCAGAGGACACTTCTTGAAATCTTCCAAATCCTGTCACATTTTTATGTATCGCATGAAACACTCAAAATTGATCATGGTCAACAAGACGATGTCGGTGATGTCTTTTTGATTCAAATTTCTGAATCTGTTTCAGAAAAGTTTGCCTGTTATTTCTCATCTTAAAACAGTTTCATATAGATGTCACAAATGGCTTTATATCAGTGTATTAGTGGGTAAGACCAATAACACATGAACAAATCCTAACCTTTGTCCAGACACAGATTTGTATGGAGTTGTTGACCTTAACTCTTACCTGTACATGTGCTAGTTATATTTTTGCCAATACAGGTATTGTACACCATAAATCATTTAATCTGATCTGTGAATGTTTAAAGTTCTAAGTCTGCATTAAATCTAGAGTCTTAATTAGGTTTAGTTTAAGCATGTAAAGATCTTATTTTAACAGTGAATTAAATTTGTGAGCATTATATTCAACACGGGTTACCAAAAAAGATATACAGGTAATTATACAGTCGTTAATCATTTTAATTTAAAGCAGAATTTGTATATCTAATTAATTTTATGGTCCTGGCAATAATGGTGAGGCTGTTAGGGTATAAAGGGGCTGCACTGAAAAATCAAAGCTTTCTGGATCTAACTTTTTTCTATATTACATATTGATATGTTCACCAACTGTATTTATATACCCTTTGCTATATTTTGATACCAATGTTTGTTCCTTAATATTTTATGTACATTCACCTAACTTGCTATACTTATATACCTTGGGAATGCAGAGTGTCACAAACTAAATTTGGATCCAGTGCCCAACTATATTCAGAGTTTTGACCCTTCGTTCATTTTCTAAACCAAAGTTTGTTTGGAACATATCTTCCTTGCTATTTCACCTTTGAATAAATTGAAAACTGTATACTTAGGAATCTTGGATGGCAAAGGCCCCAGTATATATACAATTAGTCCTTTATCAGTTTGATATGGAAGTTTGTCCAAATTTGTCAACAACTTCTCTGTGGTATACAGGAACATGTCAGGAAAATGAAATGTTTTCATCTCAGTTTCACTTGAGTAGTATTGATTTACTTTATTAACCAGCAACCAAATTTGGTATGACATATCCAAAGGCTGAGGGAGTCCATTGTTGTATAAATGACGAGTATGACCCTACTAGGGTAAAATCATTAGTTCAGTTACGTAATTTTCCAATACAGGCTCTATATCCACCAAACTCAAACATGTTTTTTTGTGTGTTTTGTATGGTAAATAAGGGTTTTAGCCCTCATGGGAGAAGCCAGTTCCTTAAGGATGTAGCTGTAAATCTAACAAAGCGAATACATATCTTATAAATGATTCATAATGGCATATCTTTGGTTAGATTATGATGTAACAATAATATAGTATTATACTAGGAAGATTCTGTGATATGATTTAGCGCTTTCTGATTCACAGACATTTACATTTGAATTATATTGTGATTGATATTCATGTGTCTTCATTCTAAACAAATTCCAGACAATCAAAGTTGCCCTGTACTGAAATTGTTGAGCATGTTGTTGTGTATATGCATGGTGTAGTGTAGCTCTATTTATTTCGTTTGTGTACTTGAAAACCAATAAAACGTATGCTAAACATCAATATGGTGTTGAAATTAAAAGTAAATTCTTTGATGTAAAAGTTTATTTTAGAAGGAAATAGTTTTGGAATAAATCATCCAGACCTCCACCTGCCATTATATATATACGTCCCGTGAATATTATCTATTGATTAATGCAGTGTATGGATCTACAGCCATAACAAATCGTTTTTCCATACATTTAAATACCCTCCACATGTTTAATCAGCTAGGCACTACCAACATGTACACATTTATACAGAGTGTCTTTCTGTCCTCCAGTGTGGAGCTAAAACAACCGGGTAAGGCTTAACAGCTGAACTATTTAATACCTTTGTATAAGGGTTGGTTTTAACGAGACTTGATCTACCTGTGAAGTTAGTTACTCAGGTGAGGTGTATTGTGTTCTATGCAGGTATATAGTGCAACAATAGAAACCCAATGAACTATATCAAGGTATTGATACACATATTCCATCTCCAGTTGGCAACGATCTGACCTATCGTTCATACATACAACAAAACAAGCTACCCTGGATCGCCAACACATAATGTGGCAAGTGTTCTTATTTAATTGATGATTTGATTGAAATATGATTTATGTGACGGTATAAGACCAGGAGTTTATCTGTTTGGTGATCTTTACGAGGATATGGGAAGGTTTTTGGTGGGAAACCTGCTGTAATTCGTGGGAGGGTTAATATTATCTGTGTCTGGATACAGGTGCTCCGTCATTAATTCACGTTCCTGGTTATATAGTCAGTAATTATATGTTGCATGAACTGTGATACTAGGTATAAGGTTTGTATGAAATTAATGTGGACTTATTACTTAAACTTATCGAAAACATATATCCATTTCATTTCAGGAATTAATTATTATACTATTTAATGATTTTGAATTGAATATTTTTTTCTTTAAATATGTTATTTTTTCTGGGTTTTTTATCAGAAAAATTCATTAACCACATGGGTATAATATAGTGGTTGAGGTAATATTACTGTTTGATCCAGTTGTTAGTGTACCTTACATTACATATCCTCACACCAAGCCTACTTCTGTTTGTATAAGGTTATTGGTTTAGTAGGCTTACCTGGTAATACATGATATTGAGAGTGTGTATTGTTGTCGCCAGACTTTCACACAGGCTCTCTGTAGGCCAGAGTTAATTGACCAGAAAAACTTGCATGCTTCTCAGCATTTCTATACTACTGCATTACCACCACTGTGTGTAACATTCACACACCTGTAGGTATCAAAGGTTCATATCATACCTGTAGGTACCTATTATATAAACTCTACAGATGTTTTTGATAAAGTAATGCCTGGCAGTGAGGAGCATACACTATACCAAACCTGTCAAGATATTTTGAAAATTATTTTGTTATCTATCAGGATTCCAAGCCTCACTGGTGACACTTATTATTTTGTTTCAGTACAGACAAGTAGATATAGTCACTTAGGCTGGTGTTTTATTGAGGTAATCACTATCTACTTCAAGAAAAATAAATTAAATCCGGTGTAAGGAGTAAGGGGTAAGGAAGCATACTTAAAGGGGATAGTGGGGATTGTTTAATACCTATAAATATGCACAGCTTGCTCATGATAGATGTTTTCAAATACTTTGTTGAGTTATAGTTTTTGTGTAAATGGAACAAGCATTATTCTGACCCAGGTCTTTCTTATTTACAGGATACCGTACAATTGACACACTCTACCCATTTAGTAACAACGCCTATCAAGACCAATCATCTTCCTACAGCCAGAAACTGCTGGAACTCAAGGCTCAGAACGCATACAACGCCAATTCCTCCGGTCTACAGCGTTCAAAGATGACATCTCCTCACAGCATGCAGACACTCTCAGTACAGGAGCAAGCGGGCATCAACACAACATTCCCTGGCAGGACAGAGTACATGACCAAATATGGGCGTCCTCCAATGGATATACCTACCAGTCCCTTCAACATCAACCCTACCCCAGACTTCACCCTGCACCAGCGACCCCTAGGTCAGACCACCTACGACCCTAGCAACACAGAATACCAAGTGCGATATGACTGGCCAGACAGTGAAAAAATTGTGAGGATGCCGTGGTTGAGAAAATGAATATGGTGCATTTAAGAAACTTTCACCAGACTTTGTTTTAACTTTTAGAATGGACCTCACATGAAATCATGAAATAAAGATCAAATTCAGGCAAATTGTGCACTGAATAGTATGGCACACTCTAAATAGGATGCAGGGGTGTTAGCTGAATTTCCCACAATTACCAAAAATTATATGGTATTAAACTTTTTTATTTCTAATATTTATATAGATATCTGTTGATGTATAGAGACAATTTAACAATTTTTCTCTCTTTATATTTTATCATTTGCATATCTGTGATAGTTAGCCAGTCTCATACCTGTTCCACATGGTAAGGGTCATTTACATATCCTCATGTTCAATAAAGATGTTTTAAAAATGTCTTCAAATTTTGATTACTTATGTGCTTTAAGCACCAATTTGACACAAATGTTTGGAAATATACCAAATATTGATCAAACTTATTCTATGGCAATTGACATTAGTGCTGTGTCTTCTATTTAGTGGTGTAGGTACTGAATCTGCAAAAAAATGATTCCAAATTAACTACATTTTGAACACTTGAAAGAATCATCTTTACAATTATTTCATACAATTTTTGGTTCATTTCTGAAAAAATGCAAAGAAAAATGGTTTATAAAAGGTTGAAATGCACGGTTTCAGAAAACCTAATTGTGAATATTTTTTGCAAAATTACATTAAAGGGAGATAATTTGGTAGTCTCCCTTGAAACTTGAACCAAATGGTCATTGATCTGTAATTGAAATGTTATACAAATGTACAGGGATTCTAGATAGTCTAGACCTGTAGTTACTAAATAGGAGAGGAACTATCTGTTACTATAATCTAATGGATTTATATCCTGAATATTAAAGTCTTAAACACAAGTATTCTAGATTAAAATGACATCTGATCAGCTAGGTTCCACAGTACATATTACCAACATTATTTTGCTTTGGAAATCTCTGGTGACCAACATGGTGCAAAGACTGTTCTGCAATATATCTATATCTGTGTACACCAGCAATTTGTGTACAGCAAGAAGCATATGGCAATTCCATTGATATTAAAGTCAAAGTGAATAGGTTTTATAATACAGTAGTATAACTTTAGAAGTATAGCAATAACTAAACTACAAATAGAAAAGTCTTGAAATATGTAGAAATAATTTGGAGCATTTATCAGTCCATCAATAACTGATCATTAATTCCAACCGAGACCAGACTAACACATTTGGATCAGTTCTGTCTGTAAGTATGGCTATTACAGTAGTGAATGTATGATTTACTCGCATTCTTAGCATGTGCAATAGGCATAGTTTACTGTATATAATTTGACTGCTGTTTTCCCCTTGTGTAATATCAAGATGAGGTTTGAATAACATCAGTTTTGAAAATAACTTATTTAAAACCATGAGTAAGGGAGCAGTCCAAATATGCAGGATAAAATTACTAGGTAGACTTAGTGGTGCAGAATCAAACGCTTCATACACATGCTTAAACAGCCTTTAGCAATAATTGACTATCGTCATCAAAAAAAAAATTGTAATTAATTTATTAGATAGCTTTTTCTTTTATTAAAATTCCAGAAAGTATTATGAATTATATATTTATGATAGCAGTGTGCTTATGAAGTATATATATATACAACGTACAATGTATATAATTTTGTATATATATATATAAGCTGTACATGTTTTAGACTCATTACACTTACTTCTATTCCACTTCTTTTTGACCTGTATAATTACATTAAAGAGACATTTATACAGAACATGTATCAGTATGTTACGGATGGGTTGAAACATATCTACTTATATATATATAAGTATTTTCACAGTAATCAAAATAGTAAGGGTATATTTTATATACACTGTACATGAATTTTGTATACACCGTACATGTATTTTGTATACACTGTACATGTATTTTGTATACACTGTACATATAAATTATATACACCGTACATGTATTTGTATACAATGTAGCCAAAACATCAATATACAACTGATAAAAAATATCCTTATCAAAATTTTTGAGGGGAGAAAACGACTACAATAGTGATATATTTTTATACTGTTAAAATGGTGAATCAGGGTGTTTTTACACGATTGTGTATATTATTATAACAGTGGACATTTGTTGAAGCAGTCACTAAACCCTTGTAATCCAATGTTATACGAGGGTGATTTATGTTGTTAGTTTGTTATTACAAGATATTTGTGAATGTAAACATTCCTTGACATTTATATATATTTCCTTTTACAATTACTAATTTCTATGCTAATTGAATGCCAGACACCTTTAGGAAAATTAAGTGTCTGGACTAAAGTTATTCAAAGATTACCACTCTTCTTTTTACTTCAAATGTTGAGATCGTTTATCAAAGCCGTTTTTTCATACAATGTGATTACACTCATTATGAGAGGAATTTGTTCCTGCTTCAATTTATTGAGGCAAGACACTTTCCATATTTTACTTTAATCTTTAGCTGTACAGTATATAATCAGTATTTGTATAAAGCAAATTAAAACTGCTTATTTGGCTAACTGGTAATAGAATCTCATCATACCCTTAATAGTATTATTATAATGTATTTATCAGATATATTTTGTATATATAAACAGGTGAAAGGAAACGTTTGCTGCAGTAGGGTTTATAAAGTGTATCGGTATCCCAGTGCCTTTTGCAATATATGTGGTAGTACTATGAAGTGTCTTAGTGAGTATCTATAGACTGTGATAGTACTTCAGGTTATTATAACTGCCATTGTCTCTATAGCAGTTTTTGCATCTTTGTCTCTGCCCAGATTATTTAATTTTATGTACATTGTAATTGTTTTTTTCTTATTTCTGTTTCTTTTCATGCTCTTTATTCTTTTTGCAATAAAAGTCCAATAAGTTTTGAGTTTGTCTTTGGATTCTGTTTTCATCAAACCTTAATACTAACAGTGATATAAAAATGTATCCCAATGACATAATTATGGTTAAGATTTCTGATCAAAACCAAATTGAAAGTTTCGAATACAATTTCTCAAGAACAGATTTTGCCATTCACAACTTTTTATTTTATAGTTTAACTATGACATAAAATCTTGAATGTCACCATTTTTAGCTCAAGATACAAAATTGTGAACAATTAAAAAACTTTTCCTTCCTGAAAATTTAACAGAATGGATTATAAACATGATCCACCACACCTCTAATGGGGAGTGAATATTACAATGGCAAAAACAGTTTGAGAAAACAAAAGATATTTATGACCATTGTGTAGCGTGTGGACATTTGATATAAACATAATGATCAAATGGATACTTTCTAACACATGTATTTTGGTATCACCATAATCACTTATCCTAAACATCCAAGTCCTATATATACTCCGTCTCGTATTAAACAAACAACAACCATGATATATGCAGGTAGCTACTCTGCAGATGGAACGACAGAACAGGCATTTATTATAATTGCATTTGATACGATAAAGACGTTTCCATACAATTTTGACAAATTCACTCCACAACCCACAATCTCTCCCTCTCATTGCGAATCGTATTTATCTACAAAAACCAACCCCACCACCCAACCTGAACTCCTTTCGGAAGCAGGTGTAACAGCCCGTCTATGCTTCATGTATTATTATTTTTTTTGGGGGGGGGGGGGGGGGGTTCTATACATCCAACATAAATTCGATTCCTATATATTCTCAATGTATTCATGTACATAACATTCCATATGAAATAAATTTTGAATTCAATTTAGATTTAAAACTTGTACATTCCGTCTACGTCCGAAGCTAGAATGACACAATAACAACCACCCGTGTCCTACCCCACACACATGCTCCAACCTCATTGGTCAATACCAAATCGCATGAATTACTCGCCCTAATACGTTCCTCACATACCTATCGGACAAATATTACGCACTATTCTATGAAACGTGCGCAAATAATACACAGTGTACTACTGGACATCAATTATTGGTTTGGGAAATACAGTAACCAAAACCTTTTCACGTTTTACTTTCCCATTAGAAGACAATATAAGTTATAAGCATGTATTTGAAATATGCATGTGTAAATGTGCTTTACTGTTCAAGTAAGTGTATTATATGATTAATTAAGCTTACTTCAGAAAACACAAAAACACATTATTTTATAATTCTTAATGATTTATTGAAATTACATTAAAACAATTACAGCCCATAGCATTCATTCAAGATATATAAAATATTTTTATCACACAATATTCCTCTTCTATGGACAGTTATTCTGATCAGCCTGAAGATATACATTGGTCATCAGGGCCATTGTGGTTATCTGGTATCAACATAGGACCAGTTGAATCATAGTTACTTGTTTATGAAATAGGGCAGACCTAATGATTTTATGATGCTCTATGTCTTAATATTGCAAAGATATTTAAGGCCAGCATTAACATTTGCATGTCTGTCAGGCTTTATTCTTGAAATATCCTATTTATAAATAGACAAACTGGTTGGTCTTCTGAAACACACAGGCCCCTGGTACCTTGGACAGCTATCTGGTATAACTATCACAGGCGACCCTGGTACCTTGGACAGCTATCTGGTATAACTATCACAGGCCCCTGGTACCTTGGACAACTATCTGGTATAACTATCACAGGCGGCCCTGGTACCTTGGACAGCTATCTGGTATAACTATCACGGGCCCCTGGTACCTTGGACAGCTATCTGGTATAACTACCACAGGCGGCCCTGGTACCTTGGACAGCTATCTGGTATAACTATCACAGGTGGCCCTGGTACCTTGGGCAGCTATCTGGTAGAACTACCACAGGCAGCCCTGGTACCTTGGACAGCTATCTGGTATAACTATCACAGGCGGCCCCGGTACCTTGGGCAGCTATCTGGTATAACTATCAGATACCTCGTGTATATATGGTCCCTTATTTGCACAGGAAGAAAAAAATATATCTGGTATAACTATCACAGGCAGCCCTGGTACCTTGGACAGCTATCTGGTATAACTATCAGATACCTAGTGTATATATGGTCCCTTATTTACACAGGAAGAAAAAAATATATCTGGTATAACTATCACAGGCGGCCCTGGTACCTTGGGCAGCTATCTGGTATAACTATCACAGGCGGGCCTGGTACCTTGGACAGCTAGCTGGGAGAACTATCACAGGCGGCCCTGGGACCTTGGACAGCTATCTGGTAGAAGTATCACAGGCGGCCCTGGTGCCTTGGGCAGCTATCTGATATAACTATCACAGGCGGCCCTGGGACCTTGGGCAGCTATCTGGTATAACTATCTCAGGCGGCCCTGGTACCTTGTACAGCTAGCTGGTAGAACTATCACAGGCGGCCCTGGTGCCTTGGACAGCTATCTGGTAGAACTATCACAGGGGGCCCTGGTACCTTGGACAGCTATCTGGTATAACTATCAGATACCTGGTGTATATATGGTCCCTTATTTACACAGGAAGAAAAAATTGTGGATTTTGTATTAGAACTTAATTGCAAGATTTTCATTTTGCAAAGCACTGGTATAGTAAAAAAGGCATGCTTTTTAATATATTGATTTATGCTACATCCATGTATTAATGAAAATTCTTTTATATCTAAAAATTTATCCAAATGATACCCGAACAGTATATAATGTTCATCCTGCTAATTTGGAATATCACGAGAAATGATTTTACATGCTGTAACAGGATCAATTCAATCTAACAATAATCATCACACATACACAACAATCATTTTTTTAAGCCTGCTATATAAAAGTCTGAATCTGACATTGTAAAAGGATTCCAGATACTCAAATACATCCGTCAAAAATAAGTGTAAATGCTTCATACATAGTGTGCCTGTTATAATTCTATATTTTTGCACACAGCCTATTTTTGTGCAAAAAAGATCTAGTGAAAATAGTTGTTTCTATACCACAATCAAAATGACCAGAAGATGAGCTCACACAAATAAGACTGTACATCTTCCAAAAGCAGAACCTACAGAAACTGAAAGTGAAACACATTTTTTCATCTAAACACTTCCAACTTTTATATATTCATCCATACTGATATAAAGTACAAAACAGATTCCACAGGGATTTCACATAAGGCAAATACTTACACAATGCATCACGTCATTGGCACAATTAGAAGGCTAAGCACTACATAGGGTGTCTGTGGTACGTACTGACATTGGGAACAATCAAGGTTGTGAGGTAAAGCAATCAGGTCACAAGTAATACACAAGTGTGAAAACAAGATCATAACATTCAGAGTTGTCTTCCCTTCCATCACAAGCGGTAAGCTCAGAAGGGTCTAGGCCTAGGGTTAACAAAACATTTCAACAAAACTTCCTCGTTTTACAACTCTTTCAGCATCAAGGGATCCCACCATGGCCTCTATAAATCTTAAGCCAGTAAAACAATTGCTTGCAAAAAAACCCAGAAGATTTCAGTTGTTCACAGTACATTTATATAATTACATCAATGTGTTATTCAGAGGGGTTTTTGTTATCATAAAAAAAACACCAATAACTTTTCATTCACCACTATATTGTAATGAACAATATGATATGTATCATCAGTAAGAAATAACAAAATGCTCACTATTCCAGTTTCTTAAATATTTTTTAAAGATGCATTCTTGTTGTTTTGTTTGGTAATATTTCACTCTTTTAAAGATGTAAACATTATAATTACCTTTCCAACATAATAGAAGTTCTGAATTTTCCTTAAATACTATCAGATATGTCTGACAAGAAGTGCCAAAATGATAAAAAAAAGTTTCTGACTTAATTTTTGGTTCATAATAAATATTTGTCTTTAATCAGACAACTATCAGCTTTCATGCTGTTTACATAGCTAATTCACTTAACGCAATAGTACAAAGGTAGGGTGTCAATGTAATTCAAATGTACAAGTCAAAGCAAGGGAAAATGTGTGAACCTTGGATTGGGAACTACACTGTATACCCATCCGATGCAGATGTACCATAAAGGAAATTAAATTGTGGATTCTATAAATGTGAGCTGCCATTTCAGCATGTGGATGTGATATTACAGAAAATACAACACACACTTCTATTACAGAATTTCATATACTGCTAATCATTCAAAAATCCTCTCCAATGGTCACAGTAACAAGGTAGCTTGGTGCCTACAATGGTCACAGTAACAAGGTAGCTTGGTGCCTACAATGGTCACAGTAACAAGGTAGCTTGGTGCCTACAATGCTCACAGTAACAAGGTAGCTTGGTGACTCCAATGGTCACGGTAACAAGGTAGCTTGGTGACTCCAATGGTCACAGTAACAAGGTATTACAGAAAATACAACACACACTTCTATTACAGAATTTCATATACTGCTAATCATTCAAAAATCCTCTCCAATGGTCATAGTAACAAGGTAGCTTGGTGACTCCAATGGTCACGGTAACAAGGTAGCTTGGTGACTCCAATGGTCACAGAAACAAGGTAGCTTGGTGACTCCAATGGTCACAGAAACAAGGTAGCTTGGTGACTCCAATGGTCACAGTAACAAGGGAGCTTGGTGCCTTCAATGGTCACAGTAACAAGGTAGCTTGGTGCCTACAATGCTCACAGTAACAAGGTAGCTTGGTGACTCCAATGGTCACAGTAACAAGGTGGCTTGGTGACTCCAATGGTCACAGTAACAAGGTGGCTTGGTGACTCCAATGGTCACAGTAACAAGGTATTACAGAAAATACAACACACACTTCTATTACAGAATTTCATATACTGCTAATCATTCAAAAATCCTCTCCAATGGTCATAGTAACAAGGTAGCTTGGTGACTCCAATGGTCACGGTAACAAGGTAGCTTGGTGACTCCAATGGTCACGGTAACAAGGTAGCTTGGTGACTCCAATGGTCACAGAAACAAGGTAGCTTGGTGACTCCAATGGTCACAGAAACAAGGTAGCTTGGTGACTCCAATGGTCACAGTAACAAGGTAGCTAGGTGCCTCCAATGGTCACAGTAGCAAGGTAGCTTGGTGCCTCCAATGGTCACAGTAGCAAGGTAGCTTGGTGCCTCCAATGGTCACAGTAATAAGGTCGCTTGGTGCCTCCAATGGTCACAGTAACAAGGTAGCTTGGGGACTCCAATGGTCACAGTAACAAGGTAGCTTGGTGACACCAATGGTCACAGTAACAAGGTGGCTTGGTGACTCCAATGGTCACAGTAACAAGGTATTACAGAAAATACAACACACACTTCTATTACAGAATTTCATATACTGCTAATCATTCAAAAATCCTCTCCAATGGTCACAGTAACAAGGTAGCTTGGTGACTCCGATGGTCACAGTAACAAGGTAGCTTTGTGCCTCCAATGGTCACAGTAACAAGGTAGCTTGGGGACTCCAATGGTCACAGTAACAAGGTAGCTTGGTGACACCAATGGTCACAGTAACAAGGTAGCTTGGTGACACCAATGGTCACAGTAACAAGGTAGCTTGGTGACACCAATGGTCACAGTAACAAGGTGGCTTGGTGACTCCAATGGTCACAGTAACAAGGTATTACAGAAAATACAACACACACTTCTATTACAGAATTTCATATACTGCTAATCATTCAAAAATCCTCTCCAATGGTCATAGTAACAAGGTAGCTTGGTGACTCCAATGGTCACAGAAACAAGGTAGCTTGGTGACTCCAATGGTCACAGAAACAAGGTAGCTTGGTGACTCCAATGGTCACAGTAATAAGGTAGCTTGGTGCCTCCAATGGTCACAGTAACAAGGTAGCTTGGTGCAGTGTACAAGTAACAATAGACAATTCTTTGTTGGTTACGTCTGCTGAGGTAACGAGTTGGAGTCTGTAGACAGTATGGGAAATTCCAATTTTTGAGACACTTCCTTCCGCACAGTAAGATATTTCTGGACTTCATTTGGTTGTGTCAAGGCATGTAAGGGAGCCTGATAAAGTGAGAGAAAAACTTATAGTGATACAGTAAAAGTATAAACATATTCACTATGGCACACAAAAAGTGAAAGTAGAAACTCATTGTAATATATTAAACGTACAAAAATGTATAAATGCATTAGCCATGGCACATATAAAGAGAAAATAGAAATGTTTTAGTTGTAGGACACATAAAATGAGGGTAGAAACATCTCTCTAATTCAGCACTAAATTTTTAGAAACGACCAAGAGCCTAGGTCAATGAGGTTACATGAATATCTATGCAAACAAATATCAGACACATTCATAATGAAATAATTCTCAGATAAATTCCTGTAAACTTTTCTGTTGTACATATATTTTTATAAAGTGTCTGTACAAATCTGTAAAATTTTATTTTGTCAAGGAAATGTGATACAAATCCTGTTCTGTACCTTAATATTCTTTATTTGATCATCTCTGCTAGAGAATTCTCTCAGAATATAGTTGTTTTCCGCCTGAAAATACATAAACAAAGCTGCAATCAATATGTATTTGTGTTGCACAGAAATATACATGCACAAATGTGAATAAAAGTATCAAGAATGTAGCATTTTAATTTGACAGTTGTACACTTTAACATAACAGACTTTGACATTCAGATACATTTTGTAGCATGTATAGGTACCAAACTGTTTTAATCTGTCAATATTGTGACACAGAAATAAAATATTAGACTGATTGATCGAATATTTAATCCAATGGCTAAATTTTACAAATCAGGTACGCACCAATGTCAATGAAAAACTTTATAATGAAATGACAACTTAAAAATTATTAAAAGGCTAAATTTCTGTAAAAAAAGACTTTTTACCACAACACAACACTATAATAAGTTGTCTACCAGAAAAGTGTTGGTGTGATATAGGTCTTGTAAAGATTACCTCGTGGTAAAGTCGTGTGTCATTGATCCTAACCATGACATTGTCTACCCTCAGAAACAGCCTCATTAGGATAAAGAAACTGGTCGGCATGACTCTCTGTGAAAATGAATATAACACTATTTACCTAGGACACTTGACATAAAATTACATTTAACAATATTTCTATTCATATCCATTGTAAAATTGCATATAGAACTATTTCCATTAAAATTAATTTTAAAATTACATGTAGCATTACTTACATTAGGGGCCACTGTAAATTAGAAAACATTATTTACATTAAAATTGGGACAAGAGGCCCAATGGGCCTGCATCACTCACCTGGTATTAATCTAAAACTTGTAATCTTAAAAGTGATCTGAAATAAAGCTTGTTAATGAGATTATGTCATTTAAAGGTTTATATATATTTGACCGAATGTGACCTTGAAAGTGAGTCAAGGTCATTCAAATGACTTGATAGCCCTTCATCCAAATATCAACATTCTGGGCCTCATGGTTATTCAGATAAGTCGTTTTAAGATTTTAAACAAATTTGACCCCTGTGACCTTTAATACAGGTCAAGGTCATTCATTTGAACAAAGTTAATAGCCCTGCATCCAAGCATGTTACGGGTTAAATAGTATCACCATTGGCCTTTTGGTTTTTCAGAATAAGTTGTTTAAAGTTTTTAACATACTTGACCCATGACCTTGAATATGAGTGAAGGTCATTCATTTAAACAAACTTGGTAGCCCTTCATCCCAGCATGCTATGCATATATACTGGCCAAATATCATAACCGTGGGCATTTTGGTTATTCAGAAGAAGTCGTTTAAAGTTTTTAACATATTTGACCACTTTGACCTTGAATATGGGTGAAGGTCATTTATTTGATCAATATTGACGCTGGACGACGGATGGACGCCGCACCACAGCATAAGCTCACTTGGCCCTTCGGGCCAGGTGAGCTTAAAAAAACAGGTACATTTATATGATTAAACAGCTGAGTATAGTAAATAAAATGGAAAATCATTTTAATAGTATACACATTATTTGAAAATGCCAGTTAGTTACATATTACATGCATAAAACAACATCAATTTACTCTATTTGGATAAATGGAGGTTCCCAACGAGTGATGGTTGGTTATCATGTTTATCTAACTCGAGTTAATTAATTTTCAAATTGTATAAAGGCACAAGATTTATCGAGTGTCTTATACAATTTGAAAATTAAATAACCAGTGTTAGGTAAACATGATAACCTACCATCACAAGGTTTGGGTCCTTTTTCTCCCATAATGTTAATATTTTATCTGGAAAGCCATTTGTTTCCCTTGAAAATATACTTTGTCAGCTTAAGATGGGGGGGAAACAATTGCAGTGAATCATGACGTCACAATGGAAGATGACGTCGTAAAGCATTGTTACATGACGTCAAAAGTAATAAATTGACCAATGACATCATGTCCAGGGTGTAACCCACTAGTGGGTGACCAAAAATGTTAACCAACTCCTAGCAGGGTTATCCAATGAGTCGGGAGTGAGGAAACCTAGTGGTTGTGGGAGTAGAATACCTTTTTCGTCTATAGGTTTATCATATGACATTTTTATAGCCTGTGTGTGAGGAAAACCAGAATATTGGTTTCTCTCAATCAATCATCTTCACTTTTATGGGCTCCACACAAGGTTACATGATTTATCTAGTGGAAACATATCATTGATCTAGTGGAAAAACATATTTGAAGCCCAGTGATTTCTAAGATTAATCAGAGGTTGTTAAAAGGCTCCTTCTTGAGAATTTGACCCTCATTTTCCGAGGATGTTTGTGTGTAATATTTTTAAACATTCATAGAGGTACAATTATCACTGAAGCCAAATAGGATATGACTGTTAGCTGTGAAATAATCTAAATTATCATGCTTCTATCTTACCAAGTAATTCATGTACAATAATTCTGTAGAACTAATTTTAATTATCATGCTTCTATCTTACCAAGTAATTCATGTACAATTATTCTGTAGAACTATTTTTCAATAAAATACTAGTATGTCATGGAAGAATCGCACCGAACATTTGGACTTAAAAATGATCAGTCGGCACCTCCATATTTCTCTAGGTGAGTTAATTCTGTCAGCAATTTTGTGACTTACAAATTACTGAAATGAATGCCACCAACAAGTATCTAAGAGAAATGGATTACAGAGATTTATTACATACTTACTGATAAATATGGGTTTTTTGTATATGCGATACGACACAATTGCTCTAACTCATATCAGCCCTCGCTGTATCACACCCCAGCCCTCGCTGTATCACACCCCAAAAGCCTAATCAGCCCCCGCCATATCACACCCCAAAACCTGTATCAGCCCTCTCCATATCAGCCCGCAAAACAAGTATCACACCCTTTTGGATATAAGTATCACACCCCTTTTGAAATTTTTCGTTTTTCAATATTTCAAAAGAAAAATAGATCATAAGATAGTAGCTTTTATTAGTAAGTATGTAATAAACAGAATAAAACACGCCTTTTTCCATATCACACCCAGTATCAACCCTCGACCAATATCGGCCCTCGGGCTGATATTGCAGTCTCGGGTTGATACTTGGTGTGATATAGAAAAAGGCATGTATTATTCTCTATATAATACATAGTGTCATGGAAGAATTGCACCGAACATTTGGACTTAAAAATGATCAGTCGGCACCTTCGTATTTCTCTAGGTGAGTTAAATCAGTCAGCAATTTTGTGACTTACAAATTACTGAAATTAATGCCACCAACTAGCTATAGTATCTAAGGGAAATGGATTACAGAGATATAATGCTTAGTGTCATGGAAGAACCGCACCGAACATTTGGACTTAAAAATGATCAGGCGGCACCTCCATATTTCTCTAGGTGAGTTAAATCAGTCAGCAATTTTGTGACTTACAAATTACTGAAATGAATGCCACCAACTAGTATCTAAGAGAAATGGATTACAGAGATATATACTTAGTTTCTTCTTTTTCAATATTCACATCCACAAGTTAATGTTGATTCGTCTTTTAAGAAAATACAAGTTCTGTGGAAGAATCACACCAGTTGTGCAGACACATACGAATGTTCAGTCCACACATCCATATTTCTCCATATTATTTCTCCATATTGTGAGAGATTTCACCTGCTAACACTGACATAATGAGTACTTACAATCTTAACATTTAAAATGGAGGTTCCATTATCTGCGAGCTCATCCTCAAACAATAAAGTGTCAGCATAAAACATGATCTTCTCCTTCACCATTAACTTCTCCATATCTATCCTTTCTGATGTGTCAGACACCTACAATAGTTACAAGGACTCAACTGAAGATGTATAATTAGTACTCAAATCATTCCACAGTATTATAAGATACCAACCTAATCTAATGAGAGATTACAGAGAGTATCACTTTTAAATGAACATTCAGGCAAACATGAAAATCAGGTTACATTGATAATGGTATATCTAACCATAAAGGTTTCTGTATTATTTCCTTATTGAAGCTTTAATCTATTTTAATTCAGATAAGATTTTGTAGTAAATACCTTGATTTGAGCATCATCTTTTAAACCATAAAGTGTTCTATATTATTTCCTTTTTAAAGCTTTAACTTTTGTCAGTTCAGATATTGTAGTATAGATACCTTGATTTGAGCATCATCTTTACCAAACACAGTGCCTTTGTACTCGGTAGTATAGGTCCAATCAAACGGCTTTATCACATCTTTGATATGTTCACTGTCAGCTCTACAAACAATCAAGTATATATTTCATGTAAATAAGCAGAACAACATTTGTCAATTAATCATATTTTGTACTAAGGTCACATCAATATTTTACTCTGGCTCATGACTTCATGAGGAACATCACTCAATCTGCCCATCTATCTCAACTGAAATTTGGAAATAGAACCCATTACTCCATATTAAATATAACCCATTATTATTATGGTATTATTATGGAAATATAACCCAATATTATTATGGAAATATACCCCCTTATTATTATGGCAATATAACCCATTATTATTATGGAAATATAACCCATTATTATTAAGGCAATATAACCCATTATCATTATGGAAATATAACCCATTATCATTATGGAAATATAACCCATTATTATTCAACAGAATTATTTTTTGGTGAACAAATGTAGATCAGTTATACATTTTTGAGGAAGTTAGTACACGGACCAATCAAAATTTAATTCAGGACCACATTAATTATTGTACTTCCTTTCACAGACTTCTTTCCAGTTATACACATGTTTCAAGGAAAATGTGATTGTAATTACTTCAACAGTGTATTACAGTATAGAGAAGCTTTCAATCAAACTGAACTAACTTCATTATAAATCAGTCGCAAGTAAATTTAGTTACAGTCTATTTAATGATATAAATATTATGACTTTTATAAATCATTCCTGTTATCCCAGATTGGAGTGCATAGAGGGGTTTTAATGAAGGAGGAAAAAACAGCGCCTGAAAAAATGTGGTTGGGCAGGTGACCCTTATACCTTTTCACGTCTGATCTCAGAATTGAACCCCAGCAGCCTTGAAAGGTAAGTGTTATCCACTGCAACACCCCCCCCCCAATGTAGCCATGAAAATGTGACTGTAATTTTACTTTAAAAATGTGTATTACAGTATAGAAAAACTTCCCATCAAAACTGAATTAACATTATTATAATTCAGTCCCGAGTAAATTCAGTTACAGCCCTTTTATGGTATAAATATATAAACTTTAAACTTTAGCAGTATTTGCTTTAATGATATTATGGAGAATGTAAAAAAATCATAAAAAAAGGGGTTGGGGGTGCAGTGGATGCATTGGACATCTTAATCCTTTTTTTTTGTCAAATTTAAATATATTTATTCATTTTAAAACAATTATTGAACAAGTTATTCTGTTTTATATAAATCACTCTTGTTGGCCTAGGTTGACGTGCATAGAGAGTTTTAATGAGAGAGAAAACCGCAGTACCTGCAGAAAACTCATGTGGTTGGGCCTGTGACCCAATACCTTTTCACATCTGATCTAGGCATCAGCTTTGGGCATCATGGTGAACGGTGAGTGTGTTTTCCACTGCACCCAACCCCCCTTTATTGTAAATTGTTTACATTCCCAATACATGTAATATCATTAAAGCAAATACTGCTAAATAATAATATAAATACAAGTTAATTTCCAACCTTGAAAATAATACATCAATACATTATCATACTTGCTAGTTGGACCAATTTAAAGGAAATATTTTCTGCAATGTGGATCTAGAGAAGATGACCACCAGCCACTTCAATACATGCCTTGGTAGTCCAAATTTATATACTTGGTCCTTTGATTAAGCCATGCCAGCACCTTGGTCAATCAACATCGAGTACCACTTACCTTGCTTCCTGCCAAGCCTGAGAAACTGCAACCTTCAGGTGGTCATGGTGAGCATCGACCATCTTCAGTGCATCTAATGTGTTGAATTCTATTCCAAATCCTCCCATATGTTCAAGGCGAAGTACATTGTTAGCAAATACCATCTCTGGAAACTGAGGCAGTTCTAACTGGCTGTCAAATCTGTTAACAACAAACCAGATAACCCATTTATACAGAGAACTTGAACTTCAATTTTATTGTCATAACGTTTTATTAGGCGAAATCATGATATCTTGTATTATATATTGATATCATAGTGAAAGATAAATTTATGGTCACACACCACTTGAGAAAGGCTCTGATATGTCCAAAGCTGGTGGTTTCAACATTCTCCTCTGCTGATATGAATGTCACAGGTTTTGGGAACAATATATTTTTGCTGATATTCAATTGATAAAGTAACATTTTTGAAATTTTACCAGTCAGCTAGTTACAATTCAGATTTGAAAATAGAAACATGTATCTACCAAGCAAATGATATGTACCTTTCCCTCTCAGGTCCCTCAGACTTAAGGATATGGCTCTGTGTTGCATTTAAAGTCCATGGACCAAATTGGAATTTTTCTGTTTTCGTTTTCCCAGTGGCCTTATTATCTCCCGCCATCATGGTTCAGCTGTGGAGGAAACAGGAAAACAAAATATGATAGGAGAGATAATTAGAAAAAATATTTTTCTTATTTCTATCTTAGGCTAAGACAAAAATTATTTCTGTTTCATGATCAGGTTATTATATAAGAAGCCAGGATAAGTCAGTAGGCAAATAATCTTTAATTTCATAGATCAATATAAAATGTCACAATGCATGTCCACAAATTATGATGGCTATTAAGATGTCAAGAATGGGGCGAGGCTCTCAGAACAGGAACATTATTCAAATGAGTTAATCTGAGCTTTGCCTGGCTAATGAATTAATCTTGAATAGGTACAAGCTTGAAAGCCATAAATGTACTAGAGTCAACAGGAAAATTTAGGATAGTTGGGATACCTGAAACACACAATTTTTGTTTGGCCTTATATTTTACTTAATCAACTAAACATGATCACAATCCAAATAAACTTATGTAAAGTATTGCCGTTACAAAGGATGAAATGTTGAGAACTACAATGACCTATACAGTACTAGAAGAAGCATATGGAATTAGAAATGGAGAGACGACAGGTTCCTCTTGAAAGATACCACAGATGCAGACATTCTGGATGGGATGAGGATTTAAACATGTTTGTAGTATGACTTCATTTAAGACGTGTCTAAACTAATTACATGTAGATCTTGTTTTCAATGATGCTAGACAAGCCTTTCAGTAGACCGTTGAGGTATGTTTTTGACTCCTGAAAATGAGCTTTGAATCTCGGGTTTGAAAGGGTATGTCTATTTGACTTGTGTTCTGACCCTCAAAATTTCAGGGAAAATATTATTTGTCCTCTGAAATTGCTAAAAGTCAAAGTCAACTGAAAGTCCTGCTAGGATGGTGTAGTTAGAGGCAGAAACACCTACATGTTTATGTTTTGTTGAACATTATTAGTTCATGTTCTATACTAACTTCCAAGAGTTTCTTCAGGTATTTCAGTATTGATTATTGTCAGGTGTATACCACTTTCAGTTTGTACTTAAGGTCTTAGATATGTGAGATCAAGATGAAGTCAAAACTCATCTCTGGATTTTTTCACTCCATTTAAGAGAGGGTAAAACTGATGATGGTTTGATTAACTTTGACATTGATCTTTTGCTATCATGAACACAGAAATAAGTTGCTAATTTTGCTATAGAGTACATATATTTTTTTTTACAAATTTCTCAGGTAATAGAGCACTAGCAAATATGGCTATATAGTTCTAATGATTAACATGTAACAAAAAAGAGAGTAGTGTGCTTCCTCAAGGTATTGAACCAGTGACCCTCCGTCCAATAGTCCATAGCTCTATCGACTGATCTAGAGAAAAATCCCTCTAGCAAGATGTCAAGTTGTTTCGCCTTAAATCCTGTTTGCCAAACATTGTTTTGTTCTAAAAAAACTCAAATATTGTTACAGTTATATCATAACGGAAGTTAGGAGAGTTTACTGTTTATACGAAAAACACAGTGAAGTACATGCGAGACAGGTTGGGCACACCGGCGCGTATGGGTAATTATCCTGCATTTGGGTAAGTTTCCAATTTCAGTAACAATTCTATTACTGAAATTGGGAATAATGTGAAATAAAAACACAAAAAGATTTTTTAAACACTTGGAGCAAAAATAAGGTATTATTCTTAAAGTAACATTTGTACACAAAAAAAATAACAATTCTGATGTGTAATTTATTGTGAAAATGACAATCAATATCACGGACTTTGTTCTTTCCATTGTGTAATCAATGGGATCATCCAGTGCAAATGAATTACGTTGTAAGAATTGCTCTTTTTTGTTCATAATGTTTCAAAGAACTTTATGTGTTCTCATGATCAATTACCGATATGCGCCATTGTGCCCAACCTGTGGGATATTCCTCGGTCATTAAGATTAAATTTCAACAATGAACGTACATTTCACAGTTAAAATCGCCTAGAATTCCATCATCATATCGTCATGGCAATTTGCAATTATCAGTCTGCTCGTTTTCGTGTGAAATAGCGCCTTTCACGCATTGCTTACTTTTTCTGTGAAAACTCCCGCAATGTTGTTGTATCATAAACCGATTACTTCCGGTTTACTGTTGAGTAAGCATAACTAACAGTTTGGTATCATTAAAAATCAATAATCATATAGTTGAAATATTTAAGTGGATTTTTTTCTTGAACACATATTAATTATTAAATTAAGTTTATCATATAAAAAACATAAATGACATAATAATTTTACGACATATAATTTATCAATATTTCAGATTTGGACAGCCGAAACGCAATGTGTTCAAAATTTGGGAAAAGGAATAAGCAAACAAATCATTTGATATCAAATGACAGTTTTAGAGACTGTTATGTATACTATCCAGTCAAATGACAGTTTTAGAGACTGTTATGTATACTGTCCAGTCAAATGACAGTTTTAGAGACTGTTATGTATACTGTCCAATCAAATGACAGTTTTCGAGACTGTTATGTATACTGTCCAGTCAAATGACAGTTTTCGAGACTGTTATGTATACTGTCCAGTCTAGCATTTCGATATCAGAATCAGTAAATTAATCAGCCATCTCCTATAAAATATAAACTTTATTATTTTACAACAATTATGAAACAAGTTATGACAACTTATATTAATAAGTTTAGCTAGCCCAGATATACGCGCACTGTGGGTCTAATGTTGGAGGAAACTGCAGTACCCGGGGAAACACATGCACGTGGTCGGGCAGGTGTTCCCATACTTTTTCACGTCCGATTGGGGAATCGAACCCCGGCCACCTTGGTGAAAGTCGAGTGCGTTATATCCACTGCGCCACCCATCTCCTTCCTCCTACATCATCTCAGAGTCATATATTACAATAATTATAATTTATGTTTCTGATCCTGTCAAATCCTTTTCGGGTTTTTTGGGGGGGTTATTTTTATCTTTTTACTAGTTTCAAGATTTTTATCATTAAACTTAACTTTGTGTTCTGGTAAGAAAGATCTGATTTCTTTGTAATGACATGTAATTCAATTATGGTTTAAAATGTTGTCGCCGAGTTCAATTTACTTCATCGTTATGCTTTAGCAGGGGGGAATTGATCAAAAGAAAGAACATGATACGGAGACTTCTAGGTCATATAAAACTTGATTTGTGTCTATTATACTATTATCTATAAATCAACATCATATGGTATAGCTCCAACTCCAGAAATTCTATGTTAATTCTCCAAAAGACAATATTGCACACTTTATTACTCTTTAGAAAGGGTTTCCCCATCAGCAGCACCTCTGAAAGGAACACGATACAGACATTTTAGGTAATATGACGTACTTTTGTCTATTACTTATAAATCAAAATCATATGGTATACATGTAGCTCCAACGTCAAAGATTCTATGTTAATTCTCTAAAATACGATATTGCACAATTTATATGGAGACACTCTAGAAAGGTTTTCCCCCGCCAACAGTACCTCAACCCAAATTTATATTTTGTGACAACAATTTAGATTAAATGTTGTCATACCGTAAGAGAGATAGGATTGAGCAAAAGTGAAAGGCAAAATAAAACATTTTGTTTATGCTACATTTAACATCAAAGTTTAGATCGGAACAAAAATGTGATTTTGTGAAAGGGTAATGGTGAGACTTCAGTGATATACTCTTTTACTTCTTAATTCAAATATTATCATAAACATTGTTATTAAAGTATACTATATTGTTACTTTATATGCAGTCTGAGAGTTTGGTCGGTAGGGATTGGCCCAACCACCAGCCCTCTTCTGCAAGTAGCAATTAATTTAAATAAAATTCAATTGTTTTAAATGTATCGTTTGTATCAGATTTTAACTATTCCAAACGGGATACACTTGTTACTATCTTATTTATTTCAAATGATTTTTTTTTGTTTAAGCATGGAATTAACAATCTAATTCCGTGGTTAAATTTATTTACCGGTACATTGCCAATCAATTAGATTACTGTACGTTAATGTCTGAGTGTTTGGTCGGTAGGGATTGGTTAATACTATATATCTTTAATTGTAAAAATACCAATATATGGTTATTCACTTTATATTTTATATAATTCAATTACCAGCATTATTTTATTGATTATAGCCTATGGCACATGTAACATTTTATATCTATTTTTATAAAAGAAGTGTGTTATTGTCTTATCAAGTTATCAATATATACTATATAATGATGCAACTATTTTATGAATTAAATTGATTTATTTAGACCTAAGGGACTCCATTGGAATTAAGAAATAAGAAAGAAAGCTCATTATAGCAGAAGCAAACAAATTACATGGACTTCGATTTTCTTAGTCCGTGATATTACAGACTTAATGGCTATATAAAAATACAGATTAAAACAGATAATCCTCATTCTTCATATCTCCCATTTCATCTTTTCAAAATTGACGGGACACCCAATGTTGGTGAACAATTTCATTTCTTTTGCTCATTCCGTACGCACTAGTGCGTTCCACTTCTTTTTGTCTAGCAATTTATAAGACCTGTCATTACACACCGAGGAATATCAACAAATCATGAAGACTTGAGACGTCGGGCGACACTTCATATCGAAATAATAGAACTCTGTAGTTCTGTTAACACGTGTCAGTTGTGGCTTTAGGAATGGGAACATTAGCAAATATGATACCTATATTTTCAGCATTATAAGTGGACATTTTGTGTAACAACATGAAAAAAGCACCAGATAACGGCGTCATTTTGGACAGAGTTGAAAAAAAAGGAAAAGGCAAATTTATTTAACATCGTTGTGTATTTAGCCTAATTCTGACCTATTCTAAGGGCCAGTTGTATTAAAAAGGGAAAACATGGCTTTCGCGTCTCGAAAATTGAGCAGCAAATTCAGAAGAGAAACCGATGTGAGTTTCATTTATCTGTCGCTCTTCTTCTCACGTCATGTCAAATACAAGGAAACTAAAGCTTATCCACAAATTGGAATACTAAGTTAGAAGTAATACTAATTAAATATGTCATTTTCGCTTTCACTTTTAATATAGTATTCAGTATTCACTATTGTAAATATTTGTACTTGGTAGAAGGAGAGAGAGCTTCGTCATTCACCTAAATTTATTTTAAAATTAGTAGTTGAAATGATTAAAAAAAACCTTACTGTTTTCATTTTTCATGAACAGTTGTGTTATTGGAAGAATTTCAAGTTTAGCTATTTGCAGATCATGTTGACCATGTACGAATCTGAGTCTAATGATCACAAGAAAGTTTATGGAAGAAACATCAAATGAAACTGTATAAGCAAATAAACAACTAAACAGACCTAAAAACCACCTTGCCCTAAAATATTATAAATATATAGTTTTGTAATCTGGACCTAACTCTAGGAGATGATCTTGTTATCTAGCTACCTGATCACCACAAATCAACCCAGACGGTTCCTACTACATATATATTCAGATCTACTCAATCCAGGGACCAATTTAGTAACCATTTTATCTAATTTCATATGACTTAATCCATTAGTACTGGAATTGATGAAGAAGGTAAAATTATCACTTAATTCCATTAAGAACAGGGAGG